GTTGGTGTCAGTGGGGGGGGGGGGAGGAATAGTGCCCCATCGTTGGTGTCAGTGGGGGGGGGAGGAATAGTGCCCCATCGTTGGTGTCAGTGGGGGGGGGGGGGGGGGGGGGGAATAGTGCCCCATCGTTGGTGTCAGTGGGAGGAATAGTGCTCCATCGTTGGTATCAGTGACACCAATGATGGGGCACTATTCCTCCCACTGACACCAATTACACTTACTGTCCACAATTGGAGCGGTCATATCGGTGTGGGTCCAACTTGGTCAGAGCCAAACCAATTTAAAAAGTAGAAAATGCACTACTTTCGGTGCAAATTGCACCTCAAATCAGCAGGTCCCCTGACTTTGAAATCACGCGACTTCACTATAAGTAAGCCCCCATTCACATCAAGCCCGACTTTGAAGTCGCACGATTTCAAAGTCGGGGGGGACCCGCCGATTTCAGGTGCGATTTGCAAATTCACACCAAAAGTATTGCATGCACTACTTTTGAAATCGGTTCGGCTCCGACCAAGTCGGAATCGCACCGATATGACTGCTCCAATTGCGGAAATAGAGTGCGACTTGGCATGTGATTTGCAAGTCATAGGGCATGCAAATTGCATGCCAAGTCACACCGATGTGAATGGAGTGTAAAGTTCACATATGTGCATGTTGGGAACATGTGCACAATCACACGTGTTCCCAACCCACAAAGCAACACACTACTCAGATGTACAAGGGTTCAACTAATAGTTACTAGCATCCCCACAGTTTTTTTTCGCACCACGCAAAACCACATGGTACATTTTATGTTAAATCTCTTTACTGTGATCAAAATGTGCTTATTACAAGAAAATGACAAAGAGCACAGGGCACTGAGACATATATGCAATCACTACCATATTGGCAGAAGCACATCATACTGATATAGAAAACATAACAAAAGAAACGCGTGGAAACGCTCCACAGGGGTAAAATCCAATTATTATTATTTATTTCAGGTACTTACATAGCGCCGTCAACTTACGTAGCGCTTTACATATATATTGTACATTCACATCAGTCCCTAACCCTCAAGGGGCGTACAATCTAAGGTCCCTAACTCACATTCATACATACACATACTAGGGCCAATTTAGACAGGAGCCAATTAACCTACCAGCATATATTTGTAATGTGTAAGGAAACCAGAGTACCCGGAGGAAAACCACACAGGCACAGGGAGAACATGCAAACTCCAGGCAGGTGGTGCCGTGGCTGGGATTCGAACCAACGACCCTAGTACTGCCAGGCGGAAGAGCTAACCACTGTGCTGCCAATTGAGCCCAAGTAGGCCTTTAGGTGTGTAGGGAAGCGGTAAGTACCGTATTTTCCGGCGTATAAGACGATACCCTACTTTTCCTGCTAAAATGTAGTGTTTGGGCTATACTCGCCGTAGAAGACTACCCCTCTAGCAATGCACACCAGTGGGAGGAATAGTGCCCCATCATTGGTGTCAGTGGGAGGAATAGTGCCCCATCATTGGTGTCAGTGGAAGAATAGTGCCCCATCATTGGTGTCAGTGGGAAGAATAGTGCCCCATCATTGGTGTCAGTGGGAAGAATAGTGCCCCATCATTGGTGTCAGTGGGAGGAATAGTGCCCCATCATTGGTGTCAGTGGGAAGAATAGTGCCCCATCATTGGTGTCAGTGGGAAGAATAGTGCCCCATCATTGGTGTCAGTGGGGGGGGGGGGGGGTGGGAATAGTGCCCCATCATTGGTGTCAGTGGGGGGGGGGGGGGGGGGGGGAATAGTGCCCCATCGTTGGTGTCAGTGGGGGGGAGGAATAGTGCCCCATCGTTGGTGTCAGTGGGCGGGGGGGGGGGGGAATAGTTGCCCCATCGTAGTGTGCCCATCGTTGGTGTCAGTGGGGGGGGGGGGGGATAGTGCCCCATCGTTGGGTGTCAGTGGGGGGGGGGGGGGGAATATAGTGCCCCATCGTTGGTGTCAGTGGGGGGGGGGGGGGGAATAGTGCCCCATCGTTGGTGTCAGTGGGGGGGGGGGGGGGAATAGTGCCCCATCGTTGGTGTCAGTGGGGGGGGGGGGGGGAATAGTGCCCCATCGTTGGTGTCAGTGGGGGGGGGTGGGGGGAATAGTGCCCCATCGTTGGTGTCAGTGGGGGGGGGGGGGGGGGGAATAGTGCCCCATCGTTGGTGTCAGTGGGGGGGGGGGGGGGGAATAGTGCCCCATCGTTGGTGTCAGTGGGTGGGGGGGGGGGGGGGTGAATAGTGCCCCATCGTTGGTGTCAGTGGGGGGGGGGGGGGGGAATAGTGCCCCATCGTTGGTGTCAGTGGGGGGGGGGGGGGAATAGTGCCCCATCGTTGGTGTCAGTGGGGGGGGGGGGGGGGGGAAAATAGTGCCCCATCGTTGGTGTCAGTGGGGGGGGGGGGGGTGGAATAGTGCCCCATCGTTGGTGTCAGTGGGGGGGGGGGGGGGAATAGTGCCCCATCGTTGGTGTCAGTGGGGGGGGGGGGGAATAGTGCCCCATCGTTGGTGTCAGTGGGGTGGGGGGGGGGGGGAATAGTGCCCCATCGTTGGTGTCAGTGGGGGGGGGGGGGGAATAGTGCCCCATCGTTGGTGTCAGTGGGGGGGGGGGGAATAGTGCCCCATCGTTGGTGTCAGTGGGGGGGGGGGGGGAATAGTGCCCCATCGTTGGTGTCAGTGGGGGGGGGGGGGGGAATAGTGCCCCATCGTTGGTCAGTGGGGGGGGGGGGGAATAGTGCCCCATCGTTGGTGTCAGTGGGGGGGGGGGGGGAATAGTGCCCCATCGTTGGTGTCAGTGGGGGGGGGGGGGGGAATAGTGCCCCATCGTTGGTGTCAGTGGGGGGGGGGGGGAATAGTGCCCCCATTCGTTGGTGTCAGTGGGGGGGGGGGGGGAATAGTGCCCCATCGTTGGTGTCAGTGGGGGGGGGGGGGAATAGTGCCCCATCGTTGGTGTCAGTGGGGGGGGGGGGGGAATAGTGCCCCATCAGTTGGTGTCAGTGGGGGGGGGGGGGGGGGGAATAGTGCCCCATCGTTGGTGTCAGTGGGGGGGGGGAGGAATAGTTGCCCCATCGTTGGTGTCAGTGGGGGGGGGGGGGGGGGAGGAATAGTGCCCCATCGTTGGTGTCAGTGGGGGGGGAGGAATAGTGCCCCATCGTTGGTGTCAGTGGGGGGGGGGGGGAATAGTGCCCCATCGTTGGTGTCAGTGGGGGGGGGGGGGGGAAAGTGAGAATAGTGCCCCCATCGTTGGTGTCAGTGGGGGGGGGGGGGGGGGGGGGTCAGTGGGGAATAGTGCCCCATCGTTGGTGTCAGTGGGGGGGGGGGAATAGTGCCCCATCGTTGGTGTGTCAGGAATGGGGGGGGGGGGGAATAGTGCCCCATCGGTTGGTGTCAGTGGGGGGGGGGGGGGGGGGGGGGGGGGTAAGGTGATAGTGCCCCATCGTTGGTGTCAGTGGGGGGGGGGGGGGGGGAATAGTGCCCCATCGTTGGTGTCAGTGGGGGGAGGGGGGGGGGGGAATAGTGCCCCATCGTTGGTGGTGGGGGGGGGGGGGGGGAATAGTGCCCCATCGTTGGTGTCAGTGGGGGGGGGGGGGGAATAGTGCCCCATCGTTGGTGTCAGTGGGGGGGGGAATAGTGACACCAATGATGGGGCACTATTCCTCCCACTGACACCAATATTACACTTGCTGACCTCTGTTCTAGTATGGTGCTGCTGCAGCCAGCATATGTGGTTGCAGCAGCACCTCTACATGGCACTTACCGGCCGCTCCTTCACTCGATTTTTGCGGGGCCACTCGGCTCCACCCCCTCGTCGGTGATTGGCCGCCTGTGTGCCTTTCCTGAGCTACAGTTCTGGCGGCCAATCACCGGTGAGGAGGCGGAGCCAAGCAGCCACGCAAACATCCAGTGGCCGAACTGAAGGAGCAGCCGCGCTTCCTGGAACGGATCATCGTGGGACCGGAGCCAGGTAAGAAACAGCAGCCCCCTGCCCGCCCCTGTACTTTGTGTCCCTTCCATTGGAAGGGGGGGGCGGCGGCAGCGGCACCGCCCCCCCTAAAAAGTGTCAGTATGCCGTATTATACCAGCGTATAAGACAACCCCCGACTTTTGAGAAGATTTTCAAGGGGTAAAAAGTCGTCTTATACGACGGAAAATACGGTACATACAAATCTATAGGTGACTACCTATTACATGCTATTAGATTGCAAGCTGTACCGAGCCGGGCCCTCCAATCCCTCCTGTACAAAAACTGTACGGTTTACCTCCATTTTGTACAGCGCTGTGCAAACTGTTGGCGTTATAGAACTCCAGAATAAAAATATTCCGCGCGGTGCATTTAGAAAAAAAAAAAAAATGGCCATAAACTTCTTTCCCTGCATTTCTCGGACATACAGCGTCCCATAGAAACAAACGGCGTGCTGTAGCCACGACACACGTACATAACACGTGAACCTAGGCGTGAGCTGCGGTGGCATTACGGTAAGGCACAAATTACAGCAACGCAGATTACAACGCGGGGGTTCCATTCCCATTCAATGGTGGTGATGCCACATCATCGCAGATACCTGTGCACCTCCCTGCAGCGCAATAATGCAAATGCAGCTCAAACAGAACCCAACGCAGCTCCAACACGAATGTGAATTGCGAAAAAAAAAATGGCTGAGATCTGCCTTTTTTCGATTTTGATGCGTTGCCAGGCTATTCATATGACACCCAGATAAAATGTGATCCTGGGGTAATGGGGACAGTGCTGGGAGGGGGAGACAACCTGATGTACAACACTACAGTATAGGTGGGCGCTCATCCCCATGTGACCATGAGAAGCCTCCCTCCAGATGTTGGGGCCTGCAGGTACGATCACACCAGGCCATGATGGAGACTTGTAGGCCACAATGGAGGCACATGGAAGAGGCCTACTCTCCCCCCCGGGACAATGCTCCTGCTAGCCCCCCCAACAGCCACGTGTGTCCGCCCTGAAGCCTCCACCCCCTCTCACCCTCATCCGTGATATCGTCCACATAGTCCTCCGGGTCACTGAACGACATCTCCTCCTCGGTGCCCTCCTCATCCTCCATGGCGAGCTCCTCCGGCCCGTGCATCCCCTCCTCAGTCCTCGTCACCTCCACTCCGCCGTGATGCTGTCCCCGCTCTGGGCTCGGTCCACACTACAACCCCGGCCTTGGCGCTACTAGCAGGCCATGTGCACCGGAGCCGGCGTCGGGCGGAAAAGGAACAAACCACCACCGGTCAAGAGGGAGGTCACCTTCCGCTCCGCCTCTCACAGGATCCCCTGCCGGCCTATACGTCCACCGCTCCTCTCTGCCTCAAAAACCGGACTACAACAGAGAATAACCGAGATGTATTTACAAATGCTGCAACAATCAGCCCATAACCGAGTAGTGCCTTCCCCCCTTCTGAGAGTGGAATGGACTATTCCAACATGGCGGCAGGCGAGGCTGGGCTAGAATGCTGCTGAGGTAGCAGGCTCGTGGTGTCTGCTCAGTACTGGGATTCAGGAAAAGTTCCACAACTGACACTCAATACATAATAAATACATAATGCAGCGCTAAAGATCATAAAGTGACAAATACATACACTGTAAAGCGCTAAAGTGATCACAACATAAAGTGTATCGTCATATATTGATGTTACAAATTGTGACTGAAATTTCAATAGTGACACTGGTGTATAATTCCCACAAATAGTAGCAATAAATAAAATATAAATATGAAGATGCATAAAATCAGTCCAATCTCTGTGCACGTGACTTCCGTGATAAGGATTTGTAGTATGATTGCGCTCACCAGAAGCGCAATAATATTGCGCATAAATATATAATTTATCCTCGGCGGTCATCTGGACTCAGGCAAGGAAAAGGAATTATCTGGCACACGGACAGCATACAAGGAATAACTCCAGACCTCACTCACAGGACCCTCGCAGTTCCAATAGTACTTCACCAAGGATATAGATTACCAAAAAGAGGATGTTCTCCACCTTGAATGGCTCACAAAAACAAGCCACAAAACGAAAGTGCTAATAGTGAAGTATTTTTTTATTGATTAAAGCAAAGAGAGAGTATCCAAAACAACTTTCAGCACACTTACAGGAACAAAGATGGCTGCCAGCCTTCCATGCGGCCTCGGCGGCGTAACGTCAATGTGGCAAGGCTCCTCCCTGATGCGTTTCGTGCGTATGCACGTTGTCAAAGGGATCTGCCTGCCGCTGACGTCTTTGCCTTCTATAGCTCCATGTGCAAACGAGCGCCATTTTAGCCTTGAGCGTGTGTGTGGACAGGCGCCATTTTAAAGAAGACCGGCATCTCACACCGAAAATTGCGGGGATCAGATCATTGCTGTACCCTCCTCTGGCACTCCCTGCCCCAACCCATCAGATTATCACCTACTCTCCTCTCCTTTAGACGCACCCTGAAAACCCATCTCTTCAGGGAAGCCTACCCCACCCCCTGCTAACTTGACCAACCTCCTCCACTCTTCCCACCACTCCATCCCCCACAGCTATCTCCTCCTGTGCCACCATCCCCCTCCCTCCTAGATTGTAAACTTGAAAGAGCAGGGCCCTCAATCTCCTCATGTTTTGCATTGTATTGGTATTGTTCTGTCACATGTTCTGTCCCCCTTTGTAATGTACAGCGCTGAGCAAACTATTGGCGCTTTATAAATACTGTATAATAATATAGTAATAAATGGGCCTCAAACATTATCCGCATAAAAGCAAAAGCTAATATGGAATGTAATCTCAATACGGATAAAAACATTGAGATGACAGTAGTCAATAGACCCCAAGAAAAGGAGAACTTAGGAAGTACTGGCATTTTTAATCTTAGCCAGACATCTTTGACTAATAGCGAACTTCTGCTCCTAAATAAGGGTCTGAAATTTGCCCCCAAAGCTAAACTCAATCAATTTTAAACGTATATTGATGTACACAGGTTTACAAGAAAATTGGATTTAAAAAGACATTTTATCTGCAATCCTTTAACTAGGGAAAGTAATAATAATATTTGTGACATCAAATCCTCACATCTAAAAAATGCTTCCCTGTTTAATCCTCCCTCACATTCCCATGTTAACATTTTTCGTAATATGGTGATTAAAGATTAAGAAACACTTAAAATAAAGAACTGGAATAATCAGCAACACATTAATGAAGGATTCAAGACACTTTTGGATTACAAAGATTTGGTTATTCGTCCTGCCGATAAAGGAGGAGGAGTAGTGGTACAAGATAAAATAGACTATATGGAACAAGTACATAAGATTTTGGATGACAAAGAAACTTATAAATTGTTACTTAAAAATCCACTGGTGCCGTCTTGTATCCACAGACGTCCCCCTTATGTTTCCATGGCTGTGGCCTTACCGGTACTTTGGTACATACATTTTGGGCTTGCCCAACTTTATCCTTGGTGTGGCGCAGGATATCCAAGTAGTAGTTACTGCACTGGTGGGTACCCCGATACATCTGACTATACAGTCCTGCCTATTGGGTGTTCAAATCCCAGGGGTTCAAACTAGTGTTATGAGATTGATACATACTATTTGTATATCCACTCTGTGGGCTATTGCCCTACATTGGAAATCTCCTTCGGTACCATTGGCCTCTGTTTTACATAGAGTAGATGCTGTGATGCTCATGGAAAGAATTCATTACACCATACTGGATAAAATGCACTTTTGATAGAAAATGGGAATCTTGGAAGGTTTATAGACATTTGCTGCATGCTTAGGGCCATTCCATTTGAGGATTGCCTGATTTGTACAGTTGGCAGATATATAATTCTACCTATCTATTTATTTATATTTCTCATGTACTTAGATTCTATTCTCTCTTCTTTTCTTTTCATTTTTTCTTTTTTGATATGATTTTGCCTTTTTGGAATGTACAATTCAACTGTGCTTTGTTACAACTGTACACATTGTTTGAAGCTGTACTGTTATTTTACAGACTATTTCTTGAAAATAAAAACCGTTTGTAAACAAAAAAAAAATATCCACTGGTGCCCTTCAAAAAGGACCTCAAAGAGATAATTAAAAAAGTTTATGAAGGAGGCATTCTAAATAAAAAAGAAAAATAATTTTTATGCCCGGCAGCTCAAAAATTACAGATCCTCTATTGTTTGCCTAAGATTCATAAGGATCCAATACACCCCCCAGGTAGACCTATTGTGAGTGGGATAGGTTCCCTGAGTTCCAGAATAGGGGAATATATAGATTACTTTCTACAACCTCTTGTCACTTCTACTCCAGCATTTCTCAAAGACACCAAGCAGGTGCTGACAGATGTAAGAGATGTTACTATTGATTCCTGTATATATCTAGTCACAGCCGACGTTGCCTCATTATACAGCAACATTAAACATGTTGATGGCATGACGGCAGTAGAGTTTTATTTGAATAAGGCAGAGGACATTCCCCATCATCAAAAAGAATATATTTTAGAGTTGTTGAACTATGCAATGCAACACAATTATTTCTGGTTCGACAATCATTTTTATTTACAGATCACAGGAGTCGCTATGGGAGCGAAATTGGCACCCAACCTTGCTAATTTATGTCTAGATGGGAGGAGGATTTAATTTATTCAAGAGACTGGCCGGAGTTGATTTTTTATCGTCGATACATCGACAATATTTTCCTCCTATGGCAAGGCAGTGAATTTTCTTTACTTAATTTTTTTAACACTCTTCATTTTAATGATCTTAATATTAAATTGACGTACCAGTATGACTATGGGGAAATTATTTTTTTTAGATCTCACTTTGATTAATGATGGCACTAAGATTATTACCAAAACATTTTTTAAAAGCACTGATAGGAATAGTTATATACCTATTGATAGTTGTCACCATCCATCATGGTTAAAGAACATACCGAAGGGGCAATTTTTACGTATTCGTAGGAATTGTGACAACTTGAAAAATTTTTATACATAGGTGGAAATATTGAAAGCCAGATTTGTTGAGAAAGGATATGATATTGCTTTACTGAACCAAAATATAAAGGAGGTCGCTAAACAGAATAGAACTCCTTTGATCTAAGAAAAGAGACAAACCCACACGATTCTGTCCATTTACTATAAATTTCTATGTTCAATATAAAGATGTCACCAAAGTCCTCATGAAAAATTTAGGAGTTCTAAGAAATGATCCTGTCTTGGGTAGTAATTTACCAGACCAACCAGAAGTTACCTTTCGTAGGGCTCCCTCTCTCAGACATCGGATAGCACCTAATATTATTAATCCACCTACCAACGTTTCCTTTTCTTTTGGAATGAAAGGGTTCTATCCCTGCAATAAATGTGTGATATGCAAATGTGACGGTATTCGTAAAAGAATGATTAATGAATTTACATCTAATGTGACAGGCAAATCATATAATGTGGAATCTCTCATTATATGCAATAGTACACATGTAGTTTATTTACTCGAATGTCCATGTAAGAAGCAATACATTGGTAGAACTACTAGAAGATTAAGAGATAGACTCAAGGAGCATGTCTACAATATTAAAATAGGACTAAAAGAACATTCCCTATCAAAATATTTTAGGTATTATCACCAAAGTGATCCCACACATTTGAGATATATAGGTATAGATCTCATTTGCTAACATTGAAGAGGTGGTCACAAACGACGGGCAGTGTCTATGTTAAAAAACAAAATGGATTTTTGAAATGCAAACCCTCATGGACATAACATAGATATAGATATAAACTGCTTTATAGACAATAGCTGATCTTGTGGAATATATACATTATCCACATGCGTTTTTTGCATTCTGCATTTTTAAAAAAAATTTTTACGCTGAATGCATGCTGATGGTTTTATGAGCTCTGTACTAGGTTGTCTGCTCAGTATTTTTTTACCTAGTTTATAGTCTTTAAAGTTTTCACATATTGCAAATAATCTGTGCCCTTTATCATACACGTTACAGTTTTTTTTATCTATCTCAGCCCCATTTTTAGTTCATTGCATTTCATTTTCATTTGCCATTTTGATAGGTATTTTTATCTATCCATGAGACAGATTATCTCATTTATATCCTATTTTTTAGGTAATTATCATCAGTGCCCATTA